ATCATTAAGAAAAAATAAAATCGCTATTAGTTGTAAAATGTAAGAATAAAAAAATTTAATGTAAAATGACTATTAACTAATAACTATCTTTTTAAAATAGAAATATTTTGCATTAATAATAATAATTGTGTCCAGAACATCCACAATTGTTTTAATTTAATTGATTTTTTTTAGATAAAATTTTATTTATGATTTCATATATTTTTCATCTAATCTTTCAGTAAATAACTTGCTCTGTCTCTGAAATGACTAAAAAAAACCCCAGTAATGTGCCATCTTAAAAGGTTCCTACCAACTTACAGGCTTCATTTCACTTTGCTTTGTGGTTTTATAAAGGTTCTTGTCATTGAACTTTTCTTCATTTGTTAAATTCAGAGAATACCAGCATGAAAAGCCTGAGCAAAGCGGAACAAAAAGCTCAGTGGTATTACCAGGCTTGTATGAACGAGAGCAAAATTGAAGAGCTTGGGGCAAAACCACTTCAGGATCTCATCAATCGGGTGACCTCAGATGCACAAGCCTTTATTTAACAATATGAAACTCAAAAGATCTGTTGTAAATATATCGGCCCTAATAAAAACCTGCTTTTACTCTTATTCTGGTATATAATTATTAATAATGTTTTTTTCCAGACAGGAGGTTGGGGCTTGAAAGACCCGTGGGATAAAGATAACTTCCAGGAGGTTTTACGGATTGTGTCAGCCAGCTTCCGAACCTCCCCCTTTTTCACTGTTTTTGTCAGCACAGACTCAAAAAGCTCCAACAGCAACATCATCCAGGTGGGAACACTTACGGTTATGTTTTTTAATCACCATAACATGAATTCTTAAATGTCTTGGGGAAACTCTGCACTGTTCTAGATATCGTATTTTGTTTTATGATGGCTGTATATCATGATGCACGTCACTGTAGCTTAGCTGGTTGAGTGATGCAGTTGATGCTCTGATTCCCTTTTTTCCATAGGTGGATCAGTCAGGATTGGGACTTCCCTCTAGGGAATACTATCTCAATAAGACAGCCAATGAAAAGGTAAACAAAGAGATTTTGTTGTTCATGAAATCGGGAAATGTTCTGCTGTGGTCTAAAGCTTGTGTTGTTATTCCTTCTTCAGTATTTAAAAGCATACTTGAACTTCTTGGTGGAGCTCGGAATCCTTTTGGGCGGCTCAGAGGAGACCTCTCAGAAGATGATGCAGGAGATCATAGACTTTGAAACAGCCCTGGCACACATCACAGTCCCTCAGGAAGAGCGCCGTGACGAGATGAAAATTTACCATAAAATTCAAGCCAAAGAGTTAGCTGTGAGTACTGTACGGTTACTGTACTACTTTTGGATTGAAATCTGTGGTTCTTTACTGCTTGTTCATGGCCCAGAAATAGTCACAGGTCTCTTCTGATACAGTCATAGATGGAAATGCTAAATGCAAATAATGAAATGTATAGTTATTATAATGGCAAAATATTACAATGGTCCAATGGTACAAATTGTTTTGTACAGAAAAAAATTGCAGTTTTTCCGTTCAGCCTAAACTACCATTCATAAGAATTTTTTTTTCATAAGATCTTCTTAATAGAAGTCTCTTATGTTCACCAAGGCAGCATTTGTTTGATCAAAAATACAGTAGAAACATTAATATTTTGAAACATTATTACGATTTAAAATAACCGTTTTCATTGTAATATATTTGTAAATGCAATTTGTCTTTATGTAATGTATCTTTTGATAGTAAAAAAAAACATTTACTCCAGTTATTAGTGTCACATTATTCAGAAATCATTCTAATGTGCTGGATGAGGAAAAACCCACTGCCTGAAGGCAAGTCCCGCTGGGGTCCTTTCAGCAACCTGTGGGAGCACAACATGGCCATCATGAAGAACTTATTAGGTAAGAACCACAAAGCATGGCCTAACAAAAGTTCATATTTAAACAAATACTTAAAATGATGTTTATTTTAATATGCTTTTTTTCTCATTCTTTGTATGAGAGATATGAGAGACTTATTCAATATGTTATTATTCAATAACTTATGTTATTAATTGTTAATATTAAAAAGGTTTCATTATTTGTTATTTTGTTTTGTTACTTAAGTACTATTTTTATTATTATTATGTTAAATTGTAATAAAAACCTGCTTTTACTCTTATTCTGGTATATAATTATTAATAATGTTTTTTTCCAGACAGGAGGTTGGGGCTTGAAAGACCCGTGGGATAAAGATAACTTCCAGGAGGTTTTACGGATTGTGTCAGCCAGCTTCCGAACCTCCCCCTTTTTCACTGTTTTTGTCAGCACAGACTCAAAAAGCTCCAACAGCAACATCATCCAGGTGGGAACACTTACGGTTATGTTTTTTAATCACCATAACATGAATTCTTAAATGTCTTGGGGAAACTCTGCACTGTTCTAGATATCGTATTTTGTTTTATGATGGCTGTATATCATGATGCACGTCACTGTAGCTTAGCTGGTTGAGTGATGCAGTTGATGCTCTGATTCCCTTTTTTCCATAGGTGGATCAGTCAGGATTGGGACTTCCCTCTAGGGAATACTATCTCAATAAGACAGCCAATGAAAAGGTAAACAAAGAGATTTTGTTGTTCATGAAATCGGGAAATGTTCTGCTGTGGTCTAAAGCTTGTGTTGTTATTCCTTCTTCAGTATTTAAAAGCATACTTGAACTTCTTGGTGGAGCTCGGAATCCTTTTGGGCGGCTCAGAGGAGACCTCTCAGAAGATGATGCAGGAGATCATAGACTTTGAAACAGCCCTGGCACACATCACAGTCCCTCAGGAAGAGCGCCGTGACGAGATGAAAATTTACCATAAAATTCAAGCCAAAGAGTTAGCTGTGAGTACTGTACGGTTACTGTACTACTTTTGGATTGAAATCTGTGGTTCTTTACTGCTTGTTCATGGCCCAGAAATAGTCACAGGTCTCTTCTGATACAGTCATAGATGGAAATGCTAAATGCAAATAATGAAATGTATAGTTATTATAATGGCAAAATATTACAATGGTCCAATGGTACAAATTGTTTTGTACAGAAAAAAATTGCAGTTTTTCCGTTCAGCCTAAACTACCATTCATAAGAATTTTTTTTTCATAAGATCTTCTTAATAGAAGTCTCTTATGTTCACCAAGGCAGCATTTGTTTGATCAAAAATACAGTAGAAACATTAATATTTTGAAACATTATTACGATTTAAAATAACCGTTTTCATTGTAATATATTTGTAAATGCAATTTGTCTTTATGTAATGTATCTTTTGATAGTAAAAAAAAACATTTACTCCAGTTATTAGTGTCACATTATTCAGAAATCATTCTAATGTGCCGATTTTTTTCCTTTGTTGAACAGAATTCAGTATTTGAAATAGATTTTTTGTAACAAAGTCTTTACTGTCATTTTTGATCAGTTTAATGCATCCGTAATGAATAAAAGTACTAATTTATTTTTTATTAAAAAAAAAAATCTTACTGCCCTCCAACTTCTGAGTGGTAGTGAATGTAATGTTGATAATGTTCATATGACTGTGAAGATCGTGATACTATTAATGAATTTCGTTGGTTGGCTTTAAGGAAACTTTTGAGACACTTTTGATGATCATTTTTGAGTCACCACTCAATGTCCAGTTGAAAATCTGGGTCTTAAAACAAAACCAGTTGAGAACCACTAATTTAAATGTCTCCTGCAAATGAGAGATGCTCTTATAAATTGTGATTATTAAAATGAGAGTGAAAATGGCAGAACATGTAGTTATGTTTCCTTTGCCGGAGACATGAAGCATTCTTTCCTTACTCTAACTGTGGTGTTGCATGTGAGCTGGGATATCAGTCATGTGTTTGTCTGTGCTGTAGACATTGGCTCCTGCGGTAGATTGGATGCCTTTCCTCTCTGCAGTGTTCACCCCTGTTGCCCTAAATGACTCTGAACCCGTGGTTGTGTACGCTAAAGAATACCTCCAGAAAGTTTCAGAGCTCATCAGCAACACCAACAAGAGGTAAGTCAACATTAGCCAGAATTGTGTGGGTTTTTGGGCCGTCTATATAACAGACCTGTATTGTCTGTTAGCTGAGATCAAAGCTAATGTGTCTCCACCAGTGTCTTGAATAACTACATGATCATGAAAGTGGTGTGGAAAATGGTGTCCATCTTAGACCAGAGGTTCCAAGATGCAGAGCAGCGCTTCCTTGAAGTCATGTACGGCACCAAAAAGGTGAGAAATTAAGATTAAAGCTGCTGTCTGTTAGTCCAAGGCACTGCTGCCACTGAAAGAGTCATGAATGATCCATTAAATATGAAATAACAGTCATGTTTTTCACATTTGCCTCTATTTTTTGTTACCCTATCTATGATACATAATTTAATTTTGCATTAGTTGAGATTTAAAGGAGAGTTTTTGTTTTTATTGTAAATTTCAAATCAGTTAAAGGAATAGTTCACCCCTAAACATTTTTTTTCTTAACCATTTGAATTTCTTATAAAAGCACCATAAAAGTATCATAAAAGTGGTTCATATGACTTGTGCACTATATTCAAAGTCTTCTGAAATCATACAATAGCTTTGTGAATAAAATTTGAGAAATAGATACACATTTTAGCCATCATTCTCTGATAATTCTCTCCTCCGCTGGATCACACTTACCGTATTACCGTGTCAGGTCTGACTTTGAATCCAAGCACCGTTGTCACTTGACTGACTGTCAAGTTTGAAAATATGAGATATGAGAGCTATGCTTTTAAAGTTGATTTAAATGTACTTGGATGTATCTTTTTTAAATCCCAAAGGTGTCTTGTGGTTTTAGAAGACTTGAAATATACACTACTGTATTACTGTATTTTTGATAAAATAAATGCAGCCTTAATGAGAATAAAACATCTGTATTTTTGATTAAATAAATCAAATGCAGCCTTAGTGAGCTTAAGAGACTTCTTTGAAAAACATTTAAAAAAACTTACAGACCCCAAACTTTTGAATGGTAGTGTAGCTCTGTAAATATATTTGTTATGAGCTTGACTGTATACACCATACAATTAATGCATGGAACAGAGCATATATTATATTGGATATTGTGTCTAAAAAATAATAATGATACAGGATTAGCAAGATTTGAGCTAAGTAAATGATGACTAAATATCTTACATTTTTTTGGGTGAACTACCCCTCAACACTCATTCCTCCTCTTACGAGGAACATTTGGTGCAGCAATCATTTTATATTACAACAAAATTACCCAGATATGAAAACAGTCAGTGTGCTTAGTCAGCATGAGAGGGAAGTGATCTGTTGCCCTTTTCTTCTCCTCCCTCTCTTTGACTCTCTCTTAGAGTAACTGGTATCAGTGTTGGTGTGTATGGAGAGGCGGTGTGTTGTTCTGCAGGGAGCCAGGTTATTCAGACTCTTATCAGGAGGAGATCCTGTTGCCCCGGCCTTACTTTCCGCTGGGGTCAGGCTGAAATAACAAACGAAAGAGCCTTGGGCGATGTGTGTATGTGTGATGGGTTATGATAAGAGATGGAGAGAGGAACCTAAAGGACGGTCACCTTCAGCTTTTATTATTGCATTAAGTGATAGTTCACCCAAAAATGAAAAATCCTGTCATTAATTACTCACCCTCATGTTGTTCCAAAGCGGTGTGACTTTCTTCTGAGGAATAAAAATTTAGATTTTAGGGAGAACGTTGACTCTGCTTTCTCTCATGTAATGAAAGTGAATGGTGACATGGAGCAGTCAAGACCTAAAAATGACAAAAAGTACCATAAAAATATTGTAAAAGTAGTCCATGCAATGTCTGTGCTGGATTCTGAGTCTTTTGAAGTCAGACGAACGCTTAAAATACCTCAATTAAGCCATTATTCACTGATAATCTTCACATCTGCTGTCATCATTTACTCACCCTCTTGTCGTTCCAAACCTGTATGACTTATTTCATTTTCACTTAGTGACTAATTTCCTTAACAATCTAAAACTTCATTTTACCCTCATAGTCTTGCATTAGGAGCTATTAGCCATTATCTCCAGAGCCTCAGTATCTAAACAAGAAATGGGAAGTGGAATGGATGTCCTGTTGCTGCCTGTCTCTGAGCGTCATACTGAAGGAACCTTCAAGAGAACAATCAAATGTCTTGTTTTGCTGATAAAATATAAAAAACCCTTCTGTTTAGCTCGTTACAAGCAAATTTGTTATGTATTTAACAAATGATTTGTGCTCATTTCCTCAAGTGCTAGTAGGTCCTATGCTGTACACATGGAAACTAGACTGTATTTATCTGTAGAAGTTCATGCCTAGATGTACCTGTAAATTGTTTGTGAAATGTCACACTAAGAAGGCTTCGGTGCAAATGAGGATGCTAGTTGTTAATATATCACCTTTGTGTTTTCCAGAGCTGCACGCCACGCTGGAAACTTTGCGTCAGCGACACGGACAGCGCTCTGGGCTTTGCTCTCGGGGCGCTCTTTGTCAAAGCTACTTTTTCTGAAGACAGCAAAGCTTTTGTGAGTGTCTTGTGATGTTTTGCACACCATGCCCGTCTTTTCCTCCAAGCCTATAAACTATATTCTCAACTGATGCGTTTGTCAGGTTGAAGATATGGTCTCTGAGATCAAATGGGCCTTTGAAGACAGCCTGAAGACTGTCGGCTGGATGGATCCCAAGACAAAAAAAGCAGCTAAAGAAAAGGTGAGGACCAACAGCACAATCCCACACAATGTTTTTCACTGCTGTTGCCTGCAGGGATGGATCTTGCTGAAAACAACACCTAGCTAAAATGTCAGACAATTCCCAATTTGTATTAGCTTTAGTTTTAGAATTGGTGGTTGTTTATCAATTTCATTGCTTTGCCTGGTGGACAATAAATTTGGCTAAAAAAAAAAAAAAAATCTTGTTGAGTAACAAAACTACATAAAGGTTTTTATTCTTGTTGATGCTCTTTAATGCCACCTGGTGTTAAAGTATAAACTGCCACACATGATGTTTATTTTCTTATTCTTGTCTAGGCAGATGCAATATACAACATGGTTGGTTATCCAAAATTTATTATGAAACCCAAAGAGCTGGACATGGTGTTTAATGACGTATGTATACATTTTCTTGATTTCTGTTTGGTTTTGGTTCATGGAAAATAATGTTGTTCAATGTTGTAGAGAGCCTGAACTAACGTCTCAGCCTGCAAACTGTATATCAGTTTGATGTTGTTTCAGATCTTTACTTTCAAAACGTCATGAATTATTACAACTTCTCTGCACGAGTCACTTCTAACCAGCTGAGAAAAGCCCCCAACAGAGATCAGTGAGTATCAGTCCAGCTCACACACAAGATGATGCTTTGCTTTGATGCACATCTCTTAAAGGGATAGTTCACCCAAAAATGAAAATTATTTTAACATTTACCAATGTTATTGTAGTATTATTTATACCATACTATAGTCATTTTTCATATTTTTAATTAGCTCTTAATTTTATATTTTAGTATTTTTAAAAATGTGCTTTTGTTATTTATTTATTTTTCTATTTAGCTGTATTTCATTTTAATTTCAGTGTCAGTTTTAGTCATTTTAGTACTTCAATTTAAACTTATTTATTTCAGTTATTTGCCAAGGTGTCATTTCTTATTTTTCTTACGTTTTTAAAGTTTAAATGAAAGTATTCATCTAATAATTATTATTATTTATGAATATTTCAGTTACCGAAAACTATTTGTAATAGTTATTGTTTTAGTTTTAGATTTAGTTAACAATAACAACACTGTCATTTACTCACCCTCATGTTGTTCCAAACCTGTGTGACTTTCGTTTTTCTGTGGAATATAAAAGAACACAAAATAACAGTGGACCCCATTGACTTTTATTGTAGGTGGGGAAAAAAGTCATTTTTCATAGTATCATACAGAACATCATACAGGTTTGGAACAACATGAGGGTGAATAAATGATGAAGTTTAATGTATTAACTGTTAATTGAAAACTCCTTTAATGTCAGTTTATGTGTACGCCAGTGATCAGTGCATTTCTTTCCGTGTACAGATGGAGTATGACTCCACCTACAGTTAATGCCTACTACAACCCCACAAAGAATGAGATGGTACTTCCAGCAGGCATTCTCCAGGCTCCCTTTTATAACCATGCTTGGCCAAAGTAAGAGTTTCTCTCTTACCTTAAGAGTTTCTCTCTTATCTCTTACCTCATCTTATTGAGTCTGGGTTGTTTTCTAGAGCAATGAATTTCGGTGGTATAGGTGTGGTTATGGGGCATGAGCTCACCCATGCCTTTGATGATCAAGGTAACAAAATTATTCTCTCTAAAATATTACTGTATATTATTTCAGATTGTTAGATCTCCAGTACATAAGATTCGTCAACTGCTGTAAAGAATCAAGTGTGCCACCCTGCCACTGATTCATTATTAGAGAGTTACACAAACACAGGAATAACTATATACCTGACTGGTTACTATGGTAATAGGGAATACATCTCAGACATTATTGAATTATTCTTAAAAATATTTAAATAAAAAATAAATATCAAATCACATGTTTTTCTGTTAATCAGTTTTTATAACCGCAGTCTATCAGTCTTATTTGATTAATACAAATTGTCCTTTGATTTCTTGTATATGTTATAAATAGTAAAAATGTACTAGGAAAAGTACTTCCAAGTCAAAGATCAGAGTCAGAGGCTGTTCAAATACGTGTGTATTTATGCTGTTGAAAAAAAACGTCTTTTTTTTTCTCATATTTTAAACATGTTGTTTATATCAGTTATTACATTTCATTAATATTACACTACATAAATGATCAAATAAATAAATGCAAAAAATAATATAACATGAATTAGCATTGATATATACATTTAATAATATTTTTTCTAATGTACAGTATAATGTAAATAATTGTATTGTCCTTTATGATTGTAATAATGTGAAGATGTTAATAAACACATCAGCTTTTATTACAGAAAACTGTAATGTGTATGTGACCATTTCCAAAATATTTGTGTTTCAAAACAGTGTTTTAAATATGTCTTACAGGAAGAGAGTATGATAAGGATGGGAATTTGCGTCAGTGGTGGCAAAATTCTTCATTGGAGGCTTTTAAACACCAGACCCAGTGTATGGTGGAGCAGTACAGCAACTACAGTATAAATAAAGAACCTCTGAATGGGAAACACACTTTGGGAGAAAATATTGCTGACAACGGAGGCCTGAGGGCAGCTTATAAGGTTTGTGAAGATCCTGTTGTGGAACAAGACTTTGCAGGAACTAGAATTTAAATCCATCAACAGATTTGTTTCATTCATCAGCGAGCTATAAAGAGATGAGACGCCAATGGTTACTTTCCATAACATGAAAACAGTTATGGCTTATGACATATGAGAATCTGATACGAAAGGCATTACGATCTCTATACTTTTCTCATTGGCGGCTTTAATAGCTTTGGGGCCATCGGGATCCCATCTCTCTGAAAAGCCTCGCAGTGCAACAGGTGGCTCGGAATGGGCTGCTCTACCTCCAGCAACTCGGATTCTTTCCGTTGGTTGAGAAGTCATAGGTTACAGAGCAGATGCGCAAAGCATATGGCTGGAGAAGACCCTTTGTTAACCTCTCTGATGGAGAGGAAAATAACCGTTGACACCAGGGCTCTGTTTATTTGTGATCTCAGGATGCAGTGTAGCATGCAGAATTCTTAGTAGACTAATGTTTTCACACTTGCTTTGCAGGCCTATATAAACTGGATTGAGAAGAGTGGTGAGGAAGCCACTCTGCCTGCCCTTGGAATGACCAATCATCAGCTGTTTTTTGTGGGATTTGCTCAGGTTTGTGCCAATATTTGCTCACTATGTTTTCCACAACTACTCCCCGGGCGCCGGAGCAAAACTGGCTGTTTGTTCACTACTCACTGCTGTGTGTGTGCACTTGGATGGGTTAAGTGCAGAGCATGGGTTACACGTCATGACACTTTCACTTTTAGTTGTTTTACTGGTCACAGCCTTAGCAAACTAAAGGTCTCTGTCTTTTGTCTCTGTTTTTGAACTCTTTGCTAAGGCAAGAATTAATATTACTGTTTCTCACACTTTGATTTGAACATTTTTCTTGGATGTGGATTGTTGAAGAAAGGTGTGCTTAGCCTACATTATTACTTGGACTCACAATTTTCACCTGGTAGACAAAAAAATAAAAAATAAAAAGCTGTTTTATTAACGAAAACTAAAATGAAAACCTCAAAAATGATCAAATACCTTTTAACTTAAATATTTTAAGTAAAATACATATTTTAAATAAAATCAATTTTCATGATTCAAACTATCTTAAATTATTATCTAAATGATCTAAAAACAATATCAATTATTTTATTTTAGCCATAAAATATTGAAATTTAGTTTTTGATACATTGTGTATTACACAATTATAATACTTTAGATCTTTGTTAAACATGAAAATGCAACTAGATCGAAAAAACCAGACTGTTTAAAAAAAAAAAAGAACTGGGGAAAAAAATTAAAATACATTTAAACTAAAATAATTTATGACTCAAACTATTCAAATAAAATTTTATTAGATATTTGATTAGATTTTTTGATACAATGTATAGCAAAAAAACAAAAAACAGATGGGAATAACTAGATTGTTAACTAAAAAAAATATAAATTATATTATAGTATATTAATTGATTCATTCATTAACATAACTGGGGGGAAAAAATCTCAAATACATTTAAACTGAAAGATAAAATAGAAATAAAAAATGTAAAAAAAATGTTTTTTAACTGTAATACTCACAGCACCGTAGCATCGGGGCAATGACTTTTGCACAGACAAAAACCACTTATCACTTTTCCAAAAACGTAATGCAATCTTTTTTTGTTCTATTATGATCTAACAAAACTTTTTGTTTCCTTTTTTTGTAGGTGTGGTGCTCAGTTCGGACACCTGAAAGCTCTCACGAGGGCGTTATTACTGACCCCCACAGTCCGTCACGTTTCCGGGTCATTGGCACTATCTCCAATTCCCATGAGTTCTCTGCGCACTTTGGCTGCAAGGCAGACTCACCCATGAACCCCAAGCGGAAGTGTGAGCTGTGGTGACAGTGACTCTTACATGGGGGACTGAACCTGGAGCTGTTATCGCTCAAAAAAATCCCAAACATCCATCTCAGGTTGCCTAATCTAGACTGCCAAAAAGCTGGAGGATTTATAGTGGACTATACATTTTCCAGCTATTATTTGCCTCTTAATGGGGAATTGGTATAAATAGTGACTCCATGGAAGTCTATATAATGGAGTTGTATTCTTACATTCAAAACACTGGAAGTTAGTGGTTAAATGTAATGAGAGAAGGACTTGTCCTTTCTGCAAATACATTTTCTTTTGAATATGTGCCTTTTTAGCAAATGCTTTTATTTTTCTATTAGAAAATAATATTTATGTTCTCTGTATTACATTGTTGGTGGGATTTTTAGTTTTAGTTTTTGGTCTGTAATGTTTGGCAATTCTTTGGCAAATTCTTTACATTGTTAAATAACTTTGCTCACATTTTGATACATGGTGAAGTTTTATATAAGACTGTTTCATCACATCATGTTTGTTTGAAAAATAATTTGATTTTATTATCCATCTCACAATGTCATTTAATGTCAAATGAAGAATATATATATGTGAGCAGTATGCACACTTCTACTGGATTTGCTGTCGTTAGACCACTATTCAAGAAAGTGCCTTTAAAACTATGCAAATACTTGCAGGGAAAATATTTGTATTTCACTCTAAAACTGAGGTGCATAGGCTCAGATCACTGAGGCCTACAATAAATCAGTTCCAAAAAGCATGACAAAACCTGTGCTAATTGAAAGAAAACAAGTTGACAAAAAGAATGAATTCAAGCTTTGGTGATAATACAGCATAATGAGAAATTTACAAGCTTTTTTTTTTTAAAGGCTGGTCATTTTTGATTGGGAACATTAAATTAGGTAAAGGATTTTCAGCACATCACAGAGGTTAATATTTATATTGCTCATTGTTAGTTCATGTTAGTAAATGCATTAGCTGGTGCTAACGAATTGTAACTTTTTTTTTTTTTTAAATATTATGTTGATATAGACTAGAGGGTTTCAAATAATGAGCACCCACTGTTATGCATTTTTAACCCCGACAGATGTCGCCACATTCACATTTATTAATGGCAACAGAAATACCTGCTAAAAAGCAAGCTAATGTTCTTATTATTAGGCCCCTACCATATATAATCCCAATATACAAATGCTACTTCACAACATAGGCACCCGTATCTAATCAACTCGATAAGCCTTTATCAAAGATAGGTAACATTTGAAGTAGTCGTTCTCCTGCAACCAAAATTTGGGCGGGACCCCTTTTAAAAGGTGAAACTGCAGTTTTATATTCAGTGATAATATACTGCGTATTATGACTCATTCGTTTCATGCTGATTGATGGCTTGGAATGTAACGGAGAAGCCATTCATTGTGTGAAACAGTGCAGGCATGTGGCGACCGCGACTGCCTCTATGACGTCACTTTCACTGGCGTATTGCGATGTCCGATTCGCGAACGATTCGTTCTTTTTGGATCTTGTCAATGAACCGGTTCACAAAACCGGACTGAATCGTTCCAAGTGTTTCTCGAGTCGTCAACTCACCGAATCATAAACTGAAATTACAAATAAAATGTACTGGAAATATTTTTATGATTTGACTGTTTTACAGATTTATCAACACACAGTGAAGCAGAGCTGGACTGAATAAATCGAATTGTTTTTTTTTTTGTTTTGTTTTTCAAACAAATAATGTTGTATATTTACGGTTCTAAATTACTAGTTTTAATTAGCTCAATTTTGGAGCATCTTTTTTACTACATAAACATTACCATTATACATGCATTTCCGTTCATATATAATAATAATAATTGTATATAATAATATATTATTATTATATAACAATCATAATTAAAGAGTTCAAAGGGGTATAAAAGATCAAATAAATAATTTTAAGCTCTCACAAACTTTGTCAGGGACGACGTGAGGTCGCAATTACGTCACGACGTTAAATAACCACTGAATCATTTTATGAACCGCATCTTTGAAACTAACTGTTCGAAAGAACCGATTCCTGGAAATGTGTCGGACTTCCCATCACTACGAAGTGGCGTAAGGTGAACCCGAGTATCTCCGAACTCGCCCGACGTTTACCGAGCCGTCCGTCCAGCCGGACTGCTGGAAGCAGCAGCAACAACGCCATGTTGAGCGAAGTCTCCCATCTTTATGAGATATTCCTATAATGCGACTCATTAATGTGATGTTACTACGCAAAGCGGAGTAAACAAACCCGGAGACGGCCATCTGAGGAGGCGGAGAAGAACAATTCAACCGGGAAGATCCAGGGTGGCTGGAGGGGGATACAAACCCCCTACCGTCCCCATGCATAGAGCAGCTACAACCCCTGACTTCAAAGATAAAATGACATTTTTGGTACTAACAGCCAGATTTGAATGAAATCCATGGCATAAGGATATACACACGTTCCGGCCTTCGTAGAGAGAAGAAACGGCCAGATATTGTTGGAACGTGAGATCGTTTTCAGCTGCGTATTGTTTGTTTTGGTTTAAATTTCTGCAATGAGTTTGCCACCGAAAGTGGTCCCGAAACCGGCCGCTGTCGCTGTTAGTGGACATGTAACCGGACCGGCACCGCCAACGCAACTCCGCGCAGCGCTGACCTCCGTGTCGTTACCACCGGGAGCCCAGAGCGCTCCTCCGCCGTCAGCCGTGCCGCCTACCCAGTATCCTTCACTAATAACAAAGCCCCTTGTGTCCCACAACACAGATCAATGGGGAAACGAATGGGCACCGAGTATCTCCGAACTCGCCCGACGTTTACCGAGCCGTCCGTCCAGCCGGACTGCTGGAAGCAGCAGCAACAACGCCATGTTGAGCGAAGTCTCCCATCTTTATGAGATATTCCTATAATGCGACTCATTAATGTGATGTTACTACGCAAAGCGGAGTAAACAAACCCGGAGACGGCCATCTGAGGAGGCGGAGAAGAACAATTCAACCGGGAAGATCCAGGGTGGCTGGAGGGGGATACAAACCCCCTACCGTCCCCATGCATAGAGCAGCTACAACCCCCGACTTCAAAGATAAAATGACATTTTTGGTACTAACAGCCAGATTTGAATGAAATCCATGGCATAAGGATATACACACGTTCCGGCCTTCGTAGAGAGAAGAAACGGCCAGATATTGTTGGAACGTGAGATCGTTTTCAGCTGCGTATTGTTTGTTTTGGTTTAAATTTCTGCAATGAGTTTGCCACCGAAAGTGGTCCCGAAACCGGCCGCTGTCGCTGTTAGTGGACATGTAACCGGACCGGCACCGCCAACGCAACTCCGCGCAGCGCTGACCTCCGTGTCGTTACCACCGGGAGCCCAGAGCGCTCCTCCGCCGTCAGCCGTGCCGCCTACCCAGTATCCTTCACTAATAACAAAGCCCCTTGTGTCCCACAACACAGATCAATGGGGAAACGAATGGGCATTTCGCTTTGCAATCACATCACCTGGCTTGTTATTTGTTTACCTGATTATAATGATGAAATTACTAATATAAGATTGCATTATTTCATATTAATATAATATAACCGTTGCCAGGGGTGTGCATCGACTATATGGAAGGGATTTACTTCTTTGGTGTCTGTTGTTGTTTGCTGGTCCTCTTGGCACTTTCTTTGTTCATGGAATTTGACAATCCCAGCTTTGTGCACAGGGTCCATTACAGTTTCAGATAACTCCCAATCTGTGCATGTTTGTATTAGTTACCTGCTGCATTTTCTCGGTTTATGATCAAATGCTTTTTTTCTAAAGAACATGTGCTCTCAGGCCATATCTCACAAGTCAAAAGTGACCTGAATGGCATTTGTACAGTTGCTAGTGTGTTGTTGCTGGTTGCTAGGGCAGGAATAGGAAGTTGCTTTTGTGTTATGAATGGCTGCATGTTGGCTTGAGCCAACTGCAAGTTTATAAAATATTATTTTCTGGAGATATGATCCCTGTGATCCATTTTCAGTGTAGGTTTATGGGATTTTTTTCATCTTGTTTATCTGTCCGAAGGGCAAACAACTACATCTGTGGTTATCCTGTTGAGGGGAATTGACTTCATATATGTACTACTATCACTTTGGGACAAGCTGGTTAAAATTAGTTACAAAAAAAATGGAAAAGAGGTTAGTTTAGAGAAAGTCTAGTGTTATTTGTTCACACATGCCAATCTGATTATCTAGCCTATGCAAAGACATTATTCATACACTGAGAGTGTCGTAAGTACACTAATATTTTATATAATATCTGGGAATAATCAAGAAACTGCTCGTATTTCAAGCTGATTTACTGTCATATATCGAGACATTTCTTCCAACAACAGAATAGAAAACACCAACAGATATGACGCTATGTCATTCTCATCTGCTTTTGAAAGTAAATCACGTGACATGAAAGCATTGTTCGCTAGTGTGGGTCAGGCTAAATGTATGATAGGAATCTCAGCCTCATTTGACGTGAATCAGTCAAGCAAAGGCTGTTTAGACACAGTCAAGCTAAGTAATTGAGCAATCGGCGTACTGCAAATCTGGGTCATCCTCTTGAACTCTCTGAGAATTTCTGTTGTTCTCCAAGTCTGAGCTATGATTTGCTGAAGAAGATTTAAAGGTGAATTGTGTTGTTTTTACACAACTAATGTCACCAAACAGAACTGCACAAATAATGAAGGTTTTCAAACAGACTTAAAGGGATAGTTCACCCAAAAATGAACATTCTGTCATTATTTATTCACCCTCCTATCATTACAAACCTGTATGACTTTCTGTCTTCTCCCGAACACAACTATATTTTAAGGAATAGTTCAGCTGTTCCATATTTTGAAAGTCTTTACTGAATCTGTCAAATATTGCAGTATTTAGTTGAGTGAAACGGAAACTTAATTTGATGTTCCTCACGTTTTCTGATAATCATTTTCTGTGAATTGAACGTCTCATTCAAAGCACTGATGACATCCAGTTTGTTTCACATTTCAATCAAAAGGGGAATCTGCAACACTTATACACACTATATGTTTGATTATTTTTGTAACTATGGATGTGCATGCACTGATTTGGCACATGTAAGCTCTTCCTTAATAGCTTAATGTGGCATAGTGACTCCTCTCTTTTTCATGTGACCTAATCATTTAATCGTAAAGACTTGCAGTGGGGTCCAAAAGTCTGAGACAACAGTCATGTTCAGACTGGGAATAATGTTTTAGAAAATGCAATTAATATGAGAACAAATCAATTAGATAAAGCAGAGGTAGAAATAAATAAACTTTTGCCATTAATCATGCAAACTACTTTGTTCTTGGTCTTGCTTCTATTAAAGCTCAGGATGCTCTAAAATCACATTGAATAATGTAATCATCAAGTTTTGACATTTCAGGTCGAGTCATTGCTAAATACTAAGAAAAACCTCAGAATTGTTTTTCTTTTTAAATTGGACTCAAATTGTCACTCTGAAATAATACAAATATTAATGA